TAAAGCTGGGATTTTAAAAGAGCCTCAGGAACACACTCATCATTAAAATTCAATGACACTGGCAGCTTAGCTCTCTGCCTCCTTTGAACATCTTGGGGTTTCCTTTTAATAAAGTAACATCTGTGAAATTTAGAAAACAATATTAATTTTGACCCTCTCTGGATTTTTAATGGGTCTGTTAACTCAATGTAGGCGATCCTCCCCTCCTGCAAGCCTTTCCTGGGAGCAGGTTTTAGTCCCAGCACCTTTTTATAAGAATATGATGTTTCTTTAAAGTAGGGAACATTCAGGATCATAATGAGTGGATTCTCTAAGCTTTTCCTGAGGCAGAGAGCATCAGCTCTGGTCTGGGCTAGAGGAGGGAGTGGCTGCAGAGCATCCCTGAAATGTCTGGCCTAGAATGTGGCCAAGGTGGTGTCTGTGCATGTGTGTGAGAGTGAGTGGGCCTGGAGGGCCTCACCTGTATTTTCACTCAAGTCTTAACTGCTAATGATAATTTTGCACTCTAGAAAGTCACCCTGGTGCTCTGGCACAGGCTCCCAAAAGCAAACCAGCACACTCTGCTCTAGACCTGAGACCAGTCCCTAAGTCTGTGCTCTGCCAGCCCGACCAAATATCCTTAGACAAAGATCCTGCCCTGAAAGTGGCATTTATCTTTAATTCTTTCTCCTTCCTGAGTTTCCACTGGATTCCCATTACCGACAGAAAATTGGCAACTATTCAGATTAAACACCAGAGTGAATTTGCTTGGCTCCAAGGAAGACATTTCTGTGTCGAAAGGTAAATTATGTTGCTGTTTTTCCACCTGTTAATGTGCAGATTATATAATAGAGACATTTTTCAATTTATATTTTTCTTCTTATGATTGCAATGACGTAGAAGGTTCGACCTTCACAGCTTCTTCTTTGCTTCATAGAATAATGTCAATGCTTTTGTGAAAAAGATCAAAAAGTAGGATTTGAAACCATAAGGATTTTGTTTGCTGATTACAGAGATGCTTTTAGTGGTAAATCTTACAAAAACTTTAGTCCAAAGCCATTTTTTAGGTTTAATTCTTTGGCAACGCAAGAGCTCAATCCTAAAATTGAGATGGTTGTGGGTAATACTGTTGGAAAGGCAGAGTGTGGGTCCCCATTTGTGTGTGCTGTGGGATGTCTTGATTTCAGGGTAGCCAGGCTGTGACATCTTCTGAAACTCCCAATTTCCTGGGATGGTGGAGTCAGGGGATTTGAGGAGCAGTCCCAAGAGATAATGAAAGGGCAAGTACAAGTGGTGAGAGCCCCAAATGAACGGCCTGGACTTGGAAGCTGAACACAGGCTGAGCTCCAGCCAGGGATGATTTCCCCAAAGGATTCAAGCCCACACCCACAGCAGCAGCAGGGATGTCACACACCAGCCCACTAAAGCAGCTGGGCTTTATATTTTCTGGTTGCTGTTGAATATGCAATGGCAATTTCTCTCTACTTTTTAATCTCTCCTTAAACAAAGTCATAGTTCTTCCACAGTCACCTCGGAGACAGGGAGAGAAATATTTTCCTAACAATTACTGCAGTCGGCTTAGCTGGGCATTTGAAAGTAACAGACATTTAAAAATATACAATAACAGTAATCTTTTAAAATACTTTATTTTAAAAATATTATTTGGGGAAAAAAGTCCTTGCTCCCTTTATTCAGCAGGAAATGCCTCACAATTATCTTTATTTTCTTACTGTTTGTGGGATGAATTGAAAATCAGTGTTTTAGATAAATTTACCTAGCAGCAATTAACATTTAATTTCCTTTAAAAATATGGAAACAAGATTAAAATGCCCATTGGGGGTGATTTATCCTTGATTAAAGTTTAGAAGTGACTGAGAAAAGTTGATGCTCAATGCATTAATCAAGAAATAAGAGAATGAAAACTTATGTTTGATATTCCAGAAGCAAACTTGGAAGTGGCTTGGAAACTGGCTAAGTTTATTTTTATTAGCAGGGAAATAAGTACCTTGCAGGCTCACAGAGGTGACCACAGCCCAGAGAAGCAGAAGAGCAGGTTTTTCCCTGAAGGCAGTGATTTGGCACACTCAGAAAGATGGGCTAATATTTGCACAGCCGGTATGTTCTATTTCCTTAGATGTTAAAGGACAGAAGGAATTCAAAAGTGATAACCTGTGACAACTTACAATGATCTGTATTAATATATTATTTATTACTATGATTATCTCACTGGAGAGTGAGTGGAGCCATGATTTAGACCTGCCCATCTCTACAGAACCCCAGGGTGTGCAACCACTCTGTCTCTGCTTTGTGGGAACCTTGTCCAGCTCCCTGCATGAAGGGCAGGGACCTCTGTGTCCACACTGATTGTGGAGTGGACACATAAAAATGGAGACAGAATCACGACATTTTTATGGCATTTTGACTCTTTGCTGAATGTCTGAATAATCTGGAATCTGGTCCATAAAAAATAATATTCCAGATTGCTCAAAATGCATATGTGGTTGAATAATCAGTTTATATGTCCAATTATTTGACTTGTGAGTAGATTGGGTAAAACTTGGCATATTTTTTCCACCATATGGTTGCACTAACTTGTTAGAAAGAAAAAATGACCCAAAATTCACATAAATAACTGTCCCACAGTTTTTCCTGTCTGCCTAATTTTGTCTATTTTCCCCACTAGCAACCAGAGATCCAATAAACTATTGAAGGCTAAAGGCTGATGTAAGTCCTTTTTTAGAGCAATGATTTCAACAAGAGTGTATGAAGAGCTTTTTTTTTTAAACCAGAGAAGAAGAGCAAACAGCTAGAAAAACAAAAAATGTAAAGTGCTTATGCAAAAATCTGTCACGGACATCTGGACCACCCTTGTCCAGCTCAGGAAATGTAACACCAGTCATGCTTCTAAGTGAAGAGAATCAATTGCACTTTCTGTTTGCAGAGGATCAAAGGTCCCCTGGCAGCTCTGCCTGCAGCCTGGGCACTCACGGGGGGCTGGCTGCAGCTCCTGCCTCCCCTCAGTCCTGCAGCACTTCCAGGGCATCCCGGGGTGCTTCCAGCCCTGGTGGAGCTGGGACCCCTCAGCATCCCTGAGATCAGGCAGCTGGGCTCTGTGATGCTGCACTGGTGATGCAGAAAAGTGCTTTGAAAGTCACAGAAGTCACCTCTTTTTGTGAGCACTTGACTCATGGGCCTAACTCAAGGTCATAGTTGCTGTAGCACACATGCAACTCACTGAGATTCTGAGGTTTAAATCTTGCTTCTGTGAATGCAGAGTATCTCTGCTTTATCCCTAAGATTTTGGGACACAGGGGTACAGAGCACAGATTTATAATGATCTTATTTTTGGAATACCTAAACTGCTGCTGACATGATAGACTGTATTGGCTCTAAAGGACTGGTATAACCAAACAGACACAGTTTGATTTAAGATTAGATATTTTTGCAAAAACAAAGCTTTACAAAATATAAGATGAGGGGAAATTTGCCATATTTATAATTGAAATACCAAAGAAATCTCTCTTCCCAACACTAATGGGTCTAGACATCTGTTTTTCATGCCTAAAATACAAATGCCCTAACAGCAAACCAGTTCACAGCTTCAGGAATTGAAGCTGTCTAGAAATGAGAATAAAAATGACTGGTCCTTCACAGCAAGCAAAAAACAGGAGGACAAAAACCTCTTGCAATAGTAGTGGAAAATAAAATTAGGTTTTCAAAGTTATTGCAGCCATATGTAAGATGGACTCCCTCACCACTGAAACCACGGGCAAAGCACAGTTTGGGGCTTTCTTTATCCATGATCCCTAAATAGCTGGGAGCGATTGGGACGTTTTGGGTCCAAGCTATCCCATACAATCACATCAGAAAATACCAGAAAATATTGCTCCTCCTCTCTCCCCCAATCCTCATTCCCACAGCAAAAGGTTGTACATCCAGTTAAAAAGCAGCCCCAATCCATCATCAGCTATCCAAGGTTACATCCATCTTCTCTCATGTCTTTTCTTCTAATAATGAGCTCTGCTCTCTGCTGACTTAACCCTCATGAGAGCCATTGATTCACAGTTTCAAACAGAACATGGATAACATGAAAAGCATCATCTATAAAAAAATACAGATGGCCAAATTCACTGGCTAACCTGGACAATGTTCCTTTAACTCTAAAGCCTCTGTTGTACTAAATACCCAGCTGTTAACAATCTCTTCTAGAGGCTATTGAGTGCAGGAAGGACATGCTTTTAGCAATTAGAAAAATAATAGTACACTTACACATGGCAATATTTAGCAGAGTTTGTTTGGTTAATAGGTCAGCAGTTTGGGACAGTTGGTGGTTTTTATGGGGCAGCAAGGAGGGTTTGTGCAATAAGACATCCTGGCAAGAATGCTGAAGCCCAGGTACCCATGGGGCACCCTCACAGGAATGTGTGCCATATAAACCAAAGCACTCAAAAGACACCCTCATTCCACAGCTTCCTTGTATATTTAAAAAAAGCTTTGAAAACATTTTTTGATAGGCTTGTACAGGGTCAGGGAAAATGCACATACATAAACCAGAAAAAATGCACACGGTGGAATGATGTTTTGGGCATATAAGGGTATTACACATGCAAGGCTTGAACAGAAGTTCATATCCTTAAATACTTTTTAGATAGAGCAAGAATTTAATAAGTGATTACGTGCTTTCCTCATGCCTTGCAGGAATTTGCCATGCAAGGGGCTGGCCTGAGATGGGAGCAGGTGCATGTCTGCTGCAGCAATTTATGGTGCAGTCCTCACAGCAGCCTGTTTGGCTGGTGGCCTTTGTGATTTATCTCTGCTGATATCATTATGTGCCTTGAGAACATTTATCTTCCTCAAAGTAAAGAGTAAATGATTGTTTTAACAAGGAGAAAACAAGACTCATTACAACAGCCCTGGAGTAGGGAGCACAAAAAGTCTTGGGTTTTTAACATGTTCCAAAATCTGTTTTAACAACTGCTTATGGTTACTATGGTCACTGAACAAAGATATGGTTATTTTACCTTTCCTCTCTGATGGCCCAAGTTCCCTCTTATTTTCTCTGTCTTTGCCATGCTTGGAGCTGCTGGGGTCAGAGAGGTCTGTGCAGTTTTCTGCCTGTAGTGGTACAACTGGCACGCTGAAATCTCACCCTGAAAATTGCATTAAATCAAAGGATGTGAAAAAAGGGGCCATATCCAATCTAAATAATCCATCCATTGACCTTGGTGGTAGTTTCCAGTCTTTTTGGATTCATGGACCCCCATGGAGTCTCTGACAATAGACCTGCTTTTCTTGGTTATATATTTTGCAGAACTTTAGAATTAATTCAGAGTCGCCACAAGGTCCATGGAAAACCTACATAAAATCACAGGTCTAAGGTATTTATAAGACACTAGCACCTAAATTCCTCCTAATGAGTGAGCATTAAAAAACCTTGAGGAGATTTTATTCCTTGCCCAACAATCAGAGTAGGTATATGATTATGCTTCCCTGATGTTTCTAAGCCACATGTTGCCCTAAAAAACCAGTTTCAGCACAGATTGTGTCTGTATCTATAGTAGATTCTCCTCTAGCCAAAGAGAGAGCTAGTGGTGATTTTGCAATTCATCAGAATAAAAGCAATTTCTTTCCAGATTTGTTATTCTTCTCCCTTCCTGGGTATGGGCAGAAACATTAAAGAACAGGACCTCCCACTAATCTGAAAAAACTAAATGCTAGACAGAAGTAAAATGAGATTTTCATAAGGAATCAGAGGTTTGGAGGTGTCAAGTGTTGGAATATGACTGTCCCAGCCCTCATGCCACTAGAAGGGAAAATGAAAATTAATGCTGGACTGCTGGGGTTGTGAAGGAAGCAGCATAACCACAGAATCAGCACCAATTTTTTTGAATACAGGCCCAGTTTTTACTTTGGAACAAGAACTTGGACTCACATGAATTGCGTGAGGGCCTGGCCTTGGATAATCAGTGGGTGCTCAGTATCTGGCAGGATCAAGTCCATGGTGAACAAGAATCTTGGCCCAGATTTGAAACACCACTTCTTCTGCTTTCCAACCCCATGGTGCAACCACCAGACCACAAACGTCTTTCCTACTTTTTGCTGTTAAGAAGGAAGCGTCAGTTTTCAGGCTTGGAGAAATGTGGTGGACTGAGGGCAGGAAGGATCTGTCATTCATAAGAAAACGTGGGCTAGAATTTCAAGATTTATTTAAATTTTAAATTTCCTTAATGCTGATAGAGTCAGGGGGCAGAAGAAGGTTCTGTGCCCGTGGCTCTCACTGCAGCACGCAGTGAGCTCTCTCCTCTAGCTGCCTTTTAACGTGTCTGCAAACATTAATGACACATTTAATTCCTTCACACTTTGGAAAACAGTGGCACCTTGCACAAAATAGAAATCTGGCTCATTTTTGATTCTTCCTTCTTCCCAAGGCCCCAAAAGGGACCTTGAATTAATGTGTTTTCCTGATTAGCATGATGATATAAATCACAGCAAGCTGCTTTCATGTGGAGATGTGAAGGCAGGCTCCAGAGTGCCCTGCAGTGCACACACTCAGCAACGGGTACTGCAGTGACACCAAACAGAGCTGCTGCTGCTTCATGTGCCACACAAACTGTTGCAATTATCTCCAAGGATGTGGGAACTTCATCTGTTTCAACCTTTTGCTCTCAGACATTATGAAGTTAATTATAAAATGTGCCAAGGGGGAGGCAAGGAGAAACCTTGTTAACCTTTTCTTTCTGCGGTTTTCCCCCCTCATTGCATTTACATTGGCCTTGAAGAGCTGGGACATTTTGCAGATGGTTTAGGGTCTATAAATTCTTATTTAAATCATCGTGAGCCAAGTATAACAGGTAGCAGCCCAGACTTCTCTAGAAAGGACAAACTCCAGCTAAGCATGTAAATAATACTCCAGTGCTTTTTCATATATAAATACATACACTGAGCCAGGTGCTCTGCAAGGTTTATTCACATTTTCCTATTGTTGCTCTGTAAAATGCACTGGGTATGCATTGCATGACTCTGCAATATTTTTTAAAATACTATTTCTTAGTGAATAGTGCAAAGTAACAGGTTAAAGGAAGGTGCTACTTCCTTCACTGCTCATCTCAGGTGGCTGCTAAAGACAACCAAAACTCTGTCTTTATCCACCAAACCTCAAATGGCCAAGTCCAAACAGGCTGCTGCCAATCATGCAGAAGTGAGAGGGAATTACCTGCTCAAGATCAGGCAGGTGTAAGAAATGATGAGTGATCAAGGAGGACAAAGCTTGGATTTTTTTACTAATGGTGAGGAGTGTGGCAGTAATACAGCGTGGAAGTATTGCCCTGTGCTGAGCTGAGAGAAGCAGGGTACTCATTTCTACTCATTACTGCCCATTCCAGCTGGGAAATGCCCCGAGAGAGGCCCTGATGGCACCATTCACCTGTCTGAGCAGGACATATCCTCCATGGCTCCAGCGTCCCTTGGGGGAGATGCTGCTGTCTTTCTCTAAATGTTTTGAGTTAATTAATAAAGACTCTGCACATTGTATTTCTCCTGAAGAATCCTCTGCACATATTAACTGGTTTTACTTAGAAGTGAAAGGAATAGCATTGCCACCTAATCTTTTTTCCCCTGAGAAGTTCAAGAATTTTTCCAGGTTTGTTTATTTTTATGCCTTTTTTTATAACTTTTTTTTTCAGTCCCATGTTCCAACTGTGCATCATGGTCCATCTGTTGGTGAGCCCAAGAGTGCTAAATGTATATAGCTCCCTCCAGAGTTTCCCAATGAGATTCAATGAAGTTCCATGAGGGACATGTAGCTCTTCTCCACAAGTGCCCCAAAAGAGGAATATATTATTCAATTTCCACCCCCTGAAACATACACCCCTGAAACTGAAATAGAACACAAGTGGTTCTAGAGGTATATATCAGTTGTAAATGCACATACTCAGCGCTTCCAGGTCACCCAGAGCATCCCTTGGCATTCCCTCTTAGAGACAAGACTCCAGAAGTAGCATTGCTTTGATTTATGGATAGGACTTTTTGGGGACCCAAGTCTACTCAGAGGACTCCTCTTTTCAGACCACAGTATTTTCAGAGCAGTTGGCTGATCAGTCTTTGGTTTCCTGGCCTGCTGCCTTCACGTGTGGTTGCCTATCCTTGCTGTTCTGGCAAGAGGAAGAGAAAATATTTGGCCTTTGGGAACCGGACAACTCAATGCCCTGTACAGCTAACAAGAGTGCATGATCCTGAGTTCAAATATTCTGTACCTGTTTTGCACAGGAATGAATATTACACAAGGTGCCAGGCAAGTGAAGCATAGCTAATGTAAAAACACCTTGGGCTGGTTCCCAGTTACCCTGCAGCTGTGTTAGTATTTACAGCACTGCAAGTGAAGTGCCCCTGAATCAGAATAGGAACAGCTTTTATTCTCTTTGAATGCATAAATCAGGCCACATAGTTCTGCTGGAATTACAGGCTATTTGCACTCATTTGTCTCCCTCCACGTGCTTTGCCCAGCAGGTAGCCTGTAATTATTTGATAATAAAAATTATAGGCATTTTTACATTGCTGGTCCTCTGCAGGAGCTGAAGATTACCCAGCCATTTTCACACGAGCTGAGAATGCAAGCCTGATGTCCTGGCAGACTTCCAGGTTGGAAGACTCCATCGCCTGTCTAAATCCTCGTGGTATTTCTAACAGGCTGTGGCACTCTTCTCACCCTCCTGGGGCAGTGCACGGCCCAACAGCTGCATTGCTGCCTCACAGCACCAGCGTGGCGGGAGGAATTCTTCCCAAAAAAAAGAGAGAGAAGGGCTCAGGGCTCGGTTACTTTGATAAGGTCCCTTGGGAGCCACAGGGATGAAAGAGGCCAGATGAATGAAATCTATCACTATGCCCTGTGGGGCTGATATGTGATAGAAGCTTGCGATGGTTTACGTATGATTATTAAAATTTTCAGACACCTGCATTAAAATTACTCCACTTTGGTTTTATTCCTTCCCCCAAAAAAATGCTTTTAGAATACTCCAAAAGAAATCAAGGAGATTAGTGTTGGAGGCTGGAAGTGTCATATGAGAGGTGTGTAGCCAAAATAAAAGTTTGTTAGCGGTAAAAAACTACCTGTTCCATTATTTTCCTCATTTAAGTTGTCTATGCCTGAAAAAAGTGCTGGTTTATAAAGAAAACTTCTTGCAAAACTATTTCTTTCTCTCTATTATCATTATAAAGGACAATTTTTTTTGCCTATGCATTTGAGAATTTATGTATTTGTAAATATAATAAAACCACAGTGGTTTGGACATTTACCGAGAATGACTGGTTTGGGGAATTTGAGAAACAAAAAGAGATAAAAACATCAGCTAGAAAAAGGAGTGCCTGCATTACAAATGGACTTTGTTATTTTTTATCTTGGCAAGTATCATTAAACTTTAATTCTTTATGCACCCAGGACAGATAAGTTTGTCTCACTTCACATTAAAGATGTTATGCATTATTTTTGACAAAGTCATTAAACCCATTGCAGTGAGACCTCACCCCAGCATGCTGAAGGTCCTGCTTAGCAAATATGGGACTGTGGAATCAGGCCTCAACTTCTCCCCACTGCAATCAGCAGGAATACTGCTGTGAACTTGGAGACAAGCTTCCTTATTTTCCCCTAAAGTTTCCTTTTATTTGGTGAAACAGCCAGTTTCACCAGGAAAAGTGAGTGTGCAGGGTCCTGGGGTTCTGCCGGGGGCATACATGTGTTTTGATTTCTTTGCCTCATTTGCAAATACTGAAACTAGTTTTTCAGTCTGGAAAAATGCATTAAACTTCAGCCTTTAGTGCCAGCACCACAAGAGTTGGCCTGGCAGAGCCATGGCAGCTCAGCCTCTTCCCTCACTGCTTCCAAAGGCAGCCCAGCCCTCACACTACGGGACACACGCGTTGTTTAATGTGCTCAAAGGGAGAGAACAAGAGGGTTCATCGATACTCACCGAAACAAAGAAAAGTGTTGTTCTGTCCCAGACACATCTAAGTTCAGATTTGTGCTTTGCTTCGTGCCAAGAGCTGATTCTGAGTCCTTTGTCAGTTGCAGCTCTGTCCCACAGGCCTGGTTTGAGGAATGGTGAGGGAATGGCTGGCATGGGCAAGCGCCACCTGAGGTGGGCATTCTGACTTGCCCTCAGAGTCCCATATTTTTTCTGTGTAGAGTGTTGAGAGGACTTTTAAGGGATTTACCCCATTCTTTTGATGGCTCTGGTCATAATGAAGGGTCTGAGGGTGCCAGGGACACAGAGGGCAGGAGGACCAGGCTGTGGGTATGTCGGGACAAGGCCCTCATGGATGATATCCCCTCGTGGCATGGGGATAATTCCCTTATAGCAAGGGGATAGAGGGACGATCCTCTCATGGCCCGGGGCTGACGAGATGATTCTCTCATGGCTTGAGGATGGAGGAATGATCACTTCATGGCGTGGGGATGACGAGACGATCCCCTCGTGGCGTGGGGACAGAGGGACTATTCCCTCATGGCGTCCCAGAGCGCAGACCCGGC